AGATCTATATGTAAAGTGTATGCTACATCGAGTGTATAAGCAGATTAAAAAATCTGCCTCAGTTGGGTTCTCGTGGGACTCGAACCACTGACCTCTCGTTCACTTTATTGTTTCTTTCTACCACGATAACAATATATAACTTCATGGTATATTCAGTTCCATGTACTACTTGAAGTCATGGCTTATTATTTTTCTCGATATTATAAGTAGCTAGAAATATATCGGAGTAGATCATCTCATAAAAGACCATAAAATTATATATCTTAGCTACGGCTGGGAGTAATTCACAACACCTGTAACGGGTGGCAGTTTAGTCCCAGTCATCCGAGATGGTATTTCCACTACCTCGTCTTGTGATTGGCTGAAACACCAGCCCAATTGAGAAGCGATAGGTTATGTTTACTCCAGACAGTAAGGTCATAATTAAAAGTAGAAAGACAAAAAATACATTTGGAATACGCCCTTATGTTTGGGTATGATAAAGACTTTGTGGCAATCATGTGAACGCTTTGCGAAAAAAGCGAATTTTCTGAACCTTCTACACACGAGGATAGAAAATTCCCAGCGTTGTCTGGTTCTGGAGAAAGATTAACCTTCTAAGATTATTTTGATTTAAAAAGCTGAGAAAAAATGGACGTAGTTTGCACCATTGCAGAGACCATGGTCTGAAGGCCATTCTCTTTCATGAGCTGGATATTGTACTTCAAAATCGAACGGCTTACACCGAAATTTTGACATTTGGAAGCTCAGGAGTATTGGATATTTTACGAGCTATGAATCATCGAGAGTTTGGTCAAGAAGCGTTTAATAATGACCAATTTCTTGCGGGAGGAATAACCTTATTTATATCTGGCTTCATAGGATTCATTGGAAACACGTTCGTCTTAATCATCACTTACAGAATTCTACGCTATCGAAAAAATATTCCTTCAATCTTAATACTTTTCCTAGCCTGGACAGATTTTCTTACCTTTCCCCTTATTTACCCACAATCGCTTATTAAATATTTCTTCGGCGTTTATATTGGTGACTACAGCGCGTGCGACTTCCAGGGTACAGTTATTACGTTCTTGTACGGAGTTTCCATATTACTGGTCCTTATCATGAGCATCGACCGCCTTCTTGCTTTATACAAGCCATTCTGTTATGAACAACATATATCGTACGATAAAGAGAAGGTTAAAGTAACAGCTATTGGAGTGAGTGCAGCTGGTTTTACTATAGCTCTTCTACCTACTTTTGGTGTCGGACGAAACGTCCTACATTTTCCAGGAACGTTTTGTTTATTTGAATGGGGAGCAAAAACAGTGGATGGTATAGCGTTGCTCTATATTTACATGACACTACTTAGTATAGCCATTCTTGCTATAGTATTTTGTAATTTTACTGTAGTACTGTTAGCCTGGAGACTAATGCGTAGACTTCATAGTGAGAGTACACTAGGAGATAAAGAAACCGCTTCAACTTGTCAAACGAAAAAGAAGCACTCAAACCGAGGAGATATGGAGATGCAGTTTGCGAAGCTTAGTTGTATGACTGCTATTGCTATCGTTGGATGTTGGAGTCTCTTTTTGGTAAGTTAAGCAAGTATTTTAGTAACTATTTATAAGTCAAATAAAGACAACAGGTGCTTTYGATAGTAAACGTGGTTTAACTTAGATATGATGGGATACGCGTGCCGCTATATATATGTAGGTGTCAAGAATGACTGGTTACTAAGGTTACGGTGAAAGACTTTCAAGAACCGTACAGTCGAAACGTGCCGTGCCGTTAATACCAATCACGTGCCACGTGAATAGTATCCTATCACAATGCCTGACTCAATCTTCTCTACATAATTACCTGAGATTTTCCGGCTTTGCACTTGTAGTGAGGGCTTCGATACAATTTTAGTCCCTTGGTCCTAATTGTGTTGCTCAAAAAAAACAAAAAATTAACAGTGGCAATAATGAATTATTTTCGTCATTCCTATTATGATGAATCAAAAACGTTACGGCTGTAAATAGATTAGCTGAGGTGATAGATGAGGGTTGTAAGCCTAATTGTGGTTAAAAAACGCTAATAGTCACTGCATGAGCTAACTATGTTTATAATCAAGATGTAAACAGTTTTCTAAACGACGTAAAGAGATTTGAAGAAAAGCGAAAACCTGTTTCAGCGGGACCAGACCAAAACGACACTCCTGAACGAGAAGATGTCATAGTGAATACACAACAATTGCAAAAGGGTAATTTCAAAATCCTCTAAATTCATTCTAAATTTAACATTTTTTAATCTTGACAGATTCGCTTAACCATGATTCAGGCAGGGTACCCATTTGATGCGTTTATCGACTTTACTGCAGTAAGACTGGCTTCACTCCACTCTGTTGTCAACCCTTGGTTTTATCCCCTTCTCAGAAGAAAGTACCGCGAAGGATTCTGGTATCTAATTACGTGGATAGGTCACGTGGTCACTTGTACGCTTATTAAAAGACCAACAAATACTTTAGGTAAGATATCATCGAAGATTGGGTTACCTGTGGACGAACTGTTGTGGAAAAATTCAGTAAACTGCATCTTCTTAAAAATCACAAGTAGCCCAAATCCCAAAATATTTCATTGCCTTTTTCAGAACATTTTTCACGAGCCATTTCCTTTCTCCTTTTTTCCCTCTCATGTCTAAAATTTTATCTTTTAAGCGAGTTAATTTACATTTATTTAATATTTTTCGCCAGATGATATTGTAGGTGGAACGCCAAGAACGAAACGAAGCAAAAAGATGCAAAAAGTAGATGAGCGCCGACGGTCAAGTTCTCAGCGGTTTCTCAGTACAACAACATTATCAGCGTCCGTTACAACTGACTCCAAATCAACAGATAAAAAATAATCATGAATTATTATTACTAGTATTAATTATCAATATTTGAAGGTAAAACTGGCTGATTTAGAAAAATTAAAGGTGCTAAAAACGCGGGATTTAGTTATATTGGTCCCTATTACTTCGGGCGAAGTTTTTTCCATTAAAGAAAACTTACGGAACAGCATTCTTTGTTTGAGTTGCTGAATACGAGTATCTACAGTCTTAAATGGAAAAGCATTGCCGCCCAAAGATATAAGGGTTCTACTATAATGTATATTTTTTGATTGCTAATATTGTTACGAACAATTTATCTTTTATGATTTTTGGATCTGGGTTGGGAAAACCGATGATTATAATAATACTAATGATAAATAATGATAATCTAATGGTTATTAAAATGCGTGCGCATATCGAAATCTTGGTAAAATCTAGAATATTTTCGATTTGATGATAAGTAGTTTAAATACTTTTAGAAAATCTTATATATTTTTTATTTAACATGGATTTCTGAGCGGGAAACATACGGGGTGAAATGGTTGTACGAAGGGTGGATAGCGCTGTCCGACGGTTAAATCCTTATCCAGTGGATAAGTAGACGGTTAAATCCTTATCCAGTGGATAAGTAGATGCTGTTATCCAATACATGTATACACTATACATGTATTGGATACACTATATTTCACCTATCCCAATCTGGAGGCATTAATACTAACTAACTAACAAATCACTCATGATTGTAAGCTGCACGGCTGCTACTATAGCGCCTAAATACGCAGCCCGTAAAGTCCTCAAATGATCATGATTGTAAAGCGCATTGAGACCATGTAAAATGCGCTATATAAGAACCCCGTTATTATTATACACTGGATAAGATTTGTCTGTCGGATAGCGCTATCCACCCTTCTAGGCTAGTTGATACGACACGGCATCCTACTCTGATGTAACGTATACTTAGCGAGGGGGGACCCAAAAATATTTTACGACTGAACTGTGGATATGGCGGGAAATTTTTAAGAGTGAAACGCGTATGTGTATATATATTGGAGGGAAAATATACATTGCCTTCCCTATGACCAAGACGTCGCTACGCACATCCCTGAGGTGACGGAAGCCATGTTCTAGGACAAAAACAACTTAAAACTTTTTAATGACAAGAGGCAGATTTCATCTCCCTGTTTTAGGATTTTGAACTACAGCATGGCTGCCAAGATATCCTCTATAGACACAGATACAAACTTTAAACAAAACAAATAAAAACAACAACAAAAATAAGAACAAGAAGAAACTGTAAAAATATCAATTTAAATTTAAAAAATAAAGGGATTTCAGGGAATTTTTGACATTTTATTTTTTTCCTAGTCATCTATAAAAGGCATTGTTTTGTTTGAACTATATATAGGGTACGTTAAATCCCAATCAACTTGCTCGAATCATGATACATTTCTCACGGCGTTTATATCGTGTATTCATGTATCAAGCTTAAAGCTAAGGAGACACTGGTGCATCATTGCACGCAACATTTCACGCAACAGGACTGTTGCAGCGTGTGTCTACCCTGAAACTTGTGGCACGCAACATTGCATGCAACAAATCTGAAGTTGAATCGCGCTCTACTCTTGCAAGATTGCGCGCAACAAATTTCATCTTGTGAACATGGCTGCAACATTGCGTGTAACATTTTGAAATTTCGAAATTCCGATCAGCTTGCACCAAATTTATAACCACTGACCAAATTTCTTAGCATAGCGCGCTGACGCAAGAGACGTTGCATGATTTTGTTGAAACGTGTGTCACCCCGCTTCAAATTTGTTGCATGCAATGTTGCACCGTTTATCCGCACCTTTAACTACAATATCAACCTGTTCTCCAAGATAACCTATTTGCAATTAAAAGATTGTCTGTACATTGGAAAATTTAGCATTCATATATTCTGATTTGTCGTTTTTGGTCAGAAGCCCATTCGGTAGAAAACTTAGAACTAGTTTTGCCATCTTCGCATTTTCTATTCTTTGGGCTTCCTGTCGCGGGGGAGAAGAGAAAGAATGAGGAGAGCTAAGTCATGTCTCCCTTTTTCTCTCAGTCTAGTAGTAACACTACTGCGCATGCGTAGAAAATAACAAAATAATCATAATGATGTACAACTGATAATTTTGACAGAAACCACTGGTCTCGCTTTTAAGTTATGAACACCAAACTCACGTCTGGCTCCCGGTATTCCAGAGATGTCAAAAACTGATGTTTTTACTGAAAAAGCATTAATAAAAATATATGTCCAAAAATCAAATATATACTAAACTATAAATTAAACAAGTGATAAGCCTGCATAAAATAATAAAACTAAAAATTATTTTGGAAAGCAAGAAAAAATGCACTTCCGAAACCCTAGTATACAATCTTTTGCCCAGACCCTTACTGCGCATGCTTGTAAGAAATGAGGGCTCTGGGCAAGAGATTGCGGAATAGAAAGCCCCAACCAAGGAAGCGGTATGCAAACTTGTGTCATGCGCAGACTAGTATCCTGTAAAACAGGTAAAACCAGTTTAACAATCACTCGTGTTAGGGCAGCCAGAGTCTTCAGATTCCGTCGACTTTGTTCTTGCTCTGAATTCCTCAAAGCTTTCAAAATCATTTGAAACATTGGGATTTGATAAGTCGTAATTTTGAAACATCATAAGCTGGACTTCGTCGGCTGTGGTTGAACAAGAAGATTCGTTTATTGTTGGTGGCGATAACGGATTTCCAAAAAGTCGAGTTTCACCTTTAGGTTCGTTGTAAAACAGCTCATTTTTGATTTCCTTTCTTACAGGGAAAAACGGTTTACGAACTCGAGGCATCTTGTTTTCCTTCTCATTCGTATTTTGCAGGCTGTTTTCCACCTTTTTCTGTATTCGCAGATTTGAGGGTTCCATTCCCGGAGCGTAGAATAGAGGTAAATCGACAGGAAGACGTTTAATACGCTGTGAATCTATTAAACTATTTATAGAGTTGTTCTTAGGCGTTGGACAAGACCTTCTTCTTAGAGAAAGGTGATCAACATTTAAATTCTTCTCACTGATATCAATTTCGATAACTTTCGGTATCATCTCGGGTGAACTTTCATCATCGTACCAAATTGTCGAGCGCCGAGTATTGCACGAAGAACTCTCGCTACTTTCATCGGATTCAGTCGATTTTGTTTCCACTTTGTCGACGTTTGGTTTCATCGCAGCAAAATTGTGCATTGACTTTGATCTTGGAATTCGCAGGCGACTAAGTTTAAGTAAGTTTTGCTTCGAGCGTTCTATCAGAGGCGACCGGCTTTTAGGTTTTTCAACTTGAATCTCTTCAGGATCCAATAAGTTATGAAGAGACTTTGAACGCTTAATTGGACCTCTGAATGCCTTTTTGATGGCGAACTTCGCTCGTTTAGTTTTTACAGTATCCGCTTCTTTAGGGCTCTCTGGATTTGTATCGACGGATACTTGTGATACACTATCGTCTTCTGTGGTTTCTGCTGTACTCAGTGATACAGCTGTTGCTCTTTCAAGCCAGTCTTGTAGTCTTTGATTCACTTGTTTGGCAAACCCTTCTTGGTCTTCTTTCCAAAGAGCTCGTTTTCGTGCTTCGTCATCTGTCGACTCTAAAAGAACTTCCTTATGCTTTATGATTGGAATATCGCTTTTCCTTCTTCTAGATCGACTGGAAGAGTTTTTCAACCTTGTAGTAACTTTCTTTTCGTTTATTGAAGTCTCAGGATTCGATCTTCCAGGATTCGTCCTATTCATTTCGATCTGGACGCTTGCACGACGACCTCTGGTATCATGTCTTGCCACACGACGTGGACTTAGAAAATCATCGTTGCTTTGACTTTTGTGAATGGAAGAGGCTCCTGTGTATTGATCGACTGATGAAGATCTTCGTTTTTTATCACTCCCTAATTTTCTATCGGCATCCTCCATCTTTTTGTTCTTCAATCTTTTAGTTGTTTCCGTGTGCGTTTGACTTTTGACGAATTTAGAATTAGATTCATCGCTTTCTTTCTCAGAAATTTCATCGAGTTTGTTCTTAAAGAAAGCTTCCAGCTCATCTAGGGACTCTTTTCGTTTCGGTGAACTTTTCTCTACCCATGAAGTTCTTCTGGAGCTGGTCTGAGAGGATGTTGGTGGAGTTGTTCCTTCTCCTGTGACAACAAGTTCCTGTAAAGCCTCAAGGAGATTATGCATTTCAGCTCCAACAACTGCTTGTGTTTTTACATCTTGAACATAGTCTGTTACCTTTTCAGCAGAAGAATTCCCTTCGATATCTTGGTGCTCGTTTATAGAATTCTGAACATTTAATTCCGAAGGTTTCTGATTTAGTTGATGTTGTGGTCTTCCGTCCACCTCGTCAAAGCCATCATCGACGACACCACGATTTTTCTTCTCCTGTTCCGAAGTTTCTTGGCAAGTTTCGATGACTTCTTGCAGTTCGTCTTTACGTGCAATGATGCTCAACGCATTCGCTAAAGAGTCTTGCCTGCTTGACTTCGATTCAATGATAGCATTCAATAACAATGATCCCCCTATTGACCTCCTTCTCATCCTCGCCTTGGGATCTTTAAACTTTTCTCGTCTTTCTCCTAAAAGATCCCCACCGGAATGCCTTCGTTTTGACGAGCTATTTTCAACCTCAGATGAATCGCCTTTGGTTAGACTCTTTTTTTCTTTGYCAAAGTTGTCGATGAGATCAGAAAGTTCTTCGTTGATTACCTGCGGTTCTGTGGACGAATCCGAACTTCTTCGCTCCCTGTCTGCATTCAAAAAGTTCGGACTTGGTGGAGCAAGAGAATTCGGGGTCGCAGAAATTACAAAACAGGAATTTGATCTCTTTCGCTGGACCACTTTTGGTTGTGACTTCAGAGGCAAAGGAGAATGGCAACTGTGACGTTTGGTAAATGCAGGCATTGAACTTGGGTTAGAGCTTGTCGAAGCAACATCTTTTTCAACCATGTCAACTCTGTCAGTTCTATTAATGGTAGTCTCTTCTCCAATAACTCCATAGGGAGCGGTCGAGGGAGGACGAGCTTGACTAGGCACGAGTTCTTGGAGTGCAGAATACAGATCTCGAATCTCGTTCACGCTCGCAGAGGTTTTCCTTCTTGCTGGAGAGCCATTTTGTTGCGCTTCATCTGCTTCTAGAGTTTGTGAATAGTTTGTAATGTTGTCTACGTTGAGTTCATGGGGTAGGTTATTACCTGAAACAAATACATTAAATAAACAAGGGATAAATGAATGAATAAATGGAGGGAGGGAGGGAGGGAGGGAGGGAGGGAGGGATAGATAGATGGATGGATGGATGGATGGATGGAGGGATTGGTGAGTGGGTAATATGATAGGCACAATTCCAAATTAAACAGCTCAGCGTCCGGTTCTCCTATTTCAAACGCTTTGAGAAAGAAGTCATACTCAAAATGCATTGTGAACTGAGAAAAAMCCTCAAAGTAAATCGGTACTACTTATCATACAATTAATGTAAACATTACTTGTGCGATCTTAAATTCTTCGCCAGGAGACTTTCCGATTTTCGCTTCGATCCTCTGGCCGCAAAACCTAAAATTCTAAATTCCAATTCATCTGCATATGAGTTAACCGTGCACTGACTTATATCAGCCAGGAGGTTGTTTAGGAGTATCGATAAGAAATTTATAATCGAAAAAGAAAATGCAAACTTGCACATTTAAAAAAGAGATGAACAAAAAATGCGTGGGAGTTAAAGTATTATGTAGGAAATCTAACCCTAGCAACAGGCGCAATGCTGACACATCGTTTAACTCTTGTATTTGAATTTAGTTGGGAAAAGTTAAAACTCGAAGTGATTGAAAAACATTATAGCAGTGAGAAGCTCTTTTCATGACTTTTTTGTGAGATCGTTAAAGCCATGCATGGGTTCAGTAATGAAATTCATAACTGTTTTGGACTGAATTAAATCCGACATATATGTAATTTTACAAGCTCAGATCATTCTAGACTTATCTATAGCTACATACATGCAAAATAAGAGGAAAAACAGATGGCACAGACTTTGAAAGCGACTGCGTTTTTAAACTGGTGTTTAAATGAGAACTGACCGGGGACAAGCAAAATTTGCATAAAGAATAAAAAACCTGATATATTTTATGACAATTAGCTAAAATTAAACTTTGTCTGATTTGAACCTGGTCGAGAACAATGAATTCCATATATTATTTATCTGTTGAATTTTCTCAGGTTTTAAATATAAAAAGTTGAAATTTCACTTACGAAAAAATGGACTTTTTTGAAATGAAGTTTTTCCTTTAAAAATATATAAGATAAAATTCACGTAGAATTATTCCTAAAATTTATATTTTCTCTCGGCAACTTTCGACCATTAAGCAGACAATATTTAATAACGTGGAAATGCAAATAAATTTGAGCAAACAAAACGATACAAACTTTCGAAACTTTCAAATATTAAGGATCAAATTTTTCGCCTTGTCACTAATTATTTCTTGTCTAGTATTCTCGTTTTTCTGAAATATTATATATTCAATTAATCTTTTAACCCTTAAAGCGATTTGAAGCAAAAAATTGTAAGCCTTAAGGCACAAGAATATAATACACAATTGGAACAACTATTTCTCTGAAAGTATCGGGAGAATTTGTATATTGATTTGAAAGCGTACTGACAGTCTTAATGCAAAATAAGATTTATTCCCAAATTTTCTTGTGTCGGAAATCGCTTCGAAAACTTTACTTTTAATTAACAGAAAAACGAAGAAAAATTAAAATATTTTCTATCCGAATATTTAATAAAAATGTTCACGTTTTAAAAGATAAAGATGTAAGATTTTTAAGACTTACGTCGACGAACGAAGTTTCTCCGGGTTTTCATGTCGGCAGAGAAGGTATTTCAGATTCAAATATGGTGACTTAGCATTATGAAGCTCTTATAGGCTCGTAGCAGGACGTTTTCTAACTGTATTCATCCCTGCTACTTTTGGTTATAGAAGTTAAGCAGTCCCCTGTGGCTGGTTTTGAGGTACAATGAATATATATATGTTATCTTAAAGGATCTTATAGTGACCCCATGGTTAGAACCGCAAGAACCTCATCACGTGAGTACATTCCACCAATAGAGAAGTGTTTCTTGGCTACCACAAAATATCTTGAAAATACCGAATACTATATGGGAAACCTGGTTTTTAGTTGTTTTTTTTTTTAAGCAAATAAATCGATTTAAAGGCAGATATGGCATCGTTAAATAACAAGATATTATTCTAAGCAAATTTATGTAACAGTGAAAAATATTTTCCGCATTAACGTAACATCTCATGTTACTATGTGGCATGGGATCCCTTTGTATGGACAGAAGTGGTATGGCACTATTCTATTTATAGCAAGCGAAGGGAATCTCTGATTTGTTTGAAATATTTTGATTTGAAATATTTTTGAGACCTCGAATGATTTACTAAATGTCATCGTTAGATTAAGGGTTTTATACATTTTTCTTTCACGCACTAAAACACAAGTCTTACAAAACAAGTACGTGGAATTTTTCTACTGAACCTCTTCAGTCTACTGCTTGCATATTCTATATTTAGACGCTCTTAAAAGCATTTATGACGTCTTTGAACGGCACTATGAATCATTGTAAGCAAAATTATGTGTGGTTACGAAATAGTTTTTCAACTCAATGTAGATATGTGGGATCCCTTTGTACTGGGGTGTATATTTTTAGCAGCCAAGTTCTATATATATATATATATATTTTTTTAAATTTTATTTCAGAATTTCTGGCATCTCTGGATTGTGTAAATTAATTCACGTACTTAGTTGTGAAGTATGACAAATATTTTTTATCCCTTTTGACAAAGCTGATATTTCACGGTTTTCATTTTTCTCGTTTCCTGTTACTTTAATTTTTTACGAGATTTTCGAACAGGTTTGCAATCAAAAGTTGATCAAACTTTTGTAGCTGTAAAAGCTATCGTCTTTTCTTGGGAAAAACAATGGTAAAATCAGTTGCGGAAGATCTGTGTGTTTTTTTTTTGTTGTTTTTTTTTCTTAAAAAAACTCAACTTGGAATTTTTTTTCAACCTGGTTTTTTTCGTTACCCCCCAAGTTCCACCATCTAATATCTTTCTTTCTTTATCCGTTATACTGGCAACGTTCCTTGTCACGATACATCATAATCACCACATATTATTGGAAAAATATCCCAATTTGGTGATTTTATGATAGAACTCAACAAATAAAAATGTATCTATAAATATGCAATTTCTTAGTTTTTTTAATCTCCGGGATCGATTACTAGATCTAATTACAAACATAATTTATATCTATGCCTAGACAAATCGTTTGAATTGAAAACGCGTTTTGACCAAAAATTGTTTTTCTTTTCCAACAATCTTTAAAGTTGTACGGCTGAGTTTAGCTAGTGACTTAATTCCTCAAATATTTGAAATACTACGTTAGTGGTCAAGTTTTTAGTGCACAACTCCCATTATTTCCGCAATCCAAGTGCATTGTTATATAACGGAAATGTTAACCTTTAGGGATGAACGACTAATCAATGTCACACTGCACGAACTACTGACAACAATGACACCACACGCAGCTACAAAAATCAGTTACCTTTTTTTATACTCCTAGATTTTATCTTTTGCTTTCATTCTTATCACAAAATAAATAAAATTATTTTAAAACGTGTTAAAATGGTGAAATAATTATTTTTAATTGCGTGTCGTTGTCACGCTCAGTTCTAATAGCTCTAGTTATAGTTTAACTTGACTGTCGGTCAAAAGATTGTGAGATGCTAATTGGAAGGCTTTCCAAACTTCAAAATATAAATCTCTCTYGTTATTAAACTTGCAACGCTACTCACTGTATAAAAACCTAGAGCTAGATATTTAAACGATTGGTGTTAAGCGTTTTATAACTAAATAATATTCATAGCCGATAAGCAAACAATATAAGAATGATTGCTTTTTTTTCATTCGTCGTCACTTACTTTAATACAATTTCAGTTATAAAAACACATCCTAAAACTTACCCATAACTTTCAACCTTTATTTTTCCTACGCGTTTTGTCTCTTATCTGCTTTCCTTTCCCTAATGATTTCATCTGGACATCTTTCCGCATCTATAGGTTCGAAACAAAAACACTTAACATGACGAAACGTCAAGGTTAGACATGTTCCGTGAGGAATGATTTATAACATGTAGTCTTGGAGATATTGACAGGACTTCATGATACGTTGTGGCTTGTAAATATGCTCGCTTACACAATGTACTCTGTAAACATACCTATAAGGTATTGACATTCAGCATGGCTTTACAATRAATACAGAACCACGAGCCACGAAGACTGAAAGAAAGCATAGCCCTCCAATTAATCTCGAAAATGAATATAAAAAGACACATAAATGCTGCGTGGCTGAGTACCCATTGTCTTCAATCCATCCCATCGTCTACGAATGCTACTTGCGCTATCAGTTTACTGATTGCAATAGATTACAAATGATCTAGGATAAGATTTTATACAAGCCAGAGGCTTGTTGGGGCGATAGTACGACTGAACACTCTTTCTCGATCGTGCGCCAGAGATTAGAGTCCTAGTACTGAGCCAGTCCAATATTGAACTCAAACTAATGCAAGAGACCGTAAAACCGGTACGATACACACGGAATTTTTTAAAAGTTTTTAAAAAAGCTAGTCGTCACTCGCCTCAAACTCAGTTCTTCTTCTCCATATTTCTAAATATTTACCTTGTGTGTGACTCAGCTCTTCACTCCTCGTACGTAGTTGCTCACTTCTTCTCTATTGTGCAATTTATATGTTTAACCAACGTCAGAAAAGCTCGTACCCCCCTGAGGGGTATTAAATAGCGTCGGTTCCTCAGAGACGATAAATCTTCTATAAGTCTAATTGTAAATAAATATAGAATAATATAAATTAAAAAATATATATATTTATTAATATTTTTATATGTGTGTTTGTTTTTAGTGTTGTTCAGTTGATTTTTCTCGTAATCAAAACGTCAGCCGTGTCTCGTCTAATACGAGCTTGAATGGAAAGGTTACTTCTACAATTTCATCGCATACGGATACTATAAGCCCTCACAGCAGGCTGGTTCCCGAGTTTATGACAAAAGATTTTGAGCTGCCATAAAGCAGCTAGATGCACCGCGATAGAAGATAGAAACTCGTTTGAAACTTATAAATCACGTCTGTGCAACTCACTAAAAAACCTCAGAGTTAAACTATTTCATGAGCTAAAATAATGTTACAGTTGGGAACTGATAGCAGAGCACTGTAAAAATACTTTTTATGGCCGGTAAATAAGAGTATTATAGCCTGGTTGTGTGAATTAAGGAATGAGCTATGGGTATAGTCTCTAGTGTTGATAGTAGCTACCGGGGATTAAATGAAAACAAAGTTGCATGATATGTAGGATGTACGTACGGTGCTTATGGTAAATGCAGATTATCCCAAGACAAACTTATATTATCTTACACTAAGCATGCTAGTGTCCAATAGCACAGGAAGCAAAGTAAGGCACAGCAATTGGTCGTAGGGTGTATAAGTTAAATAGAGATTGTATTTATATTAAGATGCACAGGAGGTAGAATATGAACAACATGTACAAATAATCCAGGAAATTGATAATTGACTATAAAAAGCTTTAAGTGCATAAGTTATTGTCATATGAAACCAAAAGTGAACGATCGGGGAAAAAATGGACAGTGTTTCTCTATATTTAGAAGTCCAATTGACGGTCGAAACTCCTAGACGGATATCAATCCTAGACGGGGAAAATTTGTAATGCAGGGTTCATAATGCATGGCAGAGGACGGGGGGGGG